AACCCCGACCACTAACTCGGACGAGTCGGTCTCTATGATGTACTTGCCATTGTCGGTGGGGGCATGCAGCGTGACGGTGTTCTGGACGGCGTGTCGGAGCTGGTCGTAGCCGTTCTCGTGCACGTCTCGCGGCTCGTAGGTCTTGTCCTTCTTCAGCAGGTCGAATAACGGCGCCGTGATGTGTGAGAACTCGGGGATGAAGGGTCTCAGGTAGCCGCACATCCCTAGGAAGCTTTGTAGCTCCTTCTTCCTGTTGGGGGCTGTGCGTTGACGATTGCTCGAGGATTCTTCTCCTGGACCTTTATGCCCGTCTGGCCGACGACGTGCCCGAGGTGCTTTACTTCGTCCTTGAACCATTCGCTCGTGTCCAGGCGCAAGTAGAAACCGGTCCTCCTGCACTGTTCCAGGAAGAGCTTAACCCGTTGCTGTCGAAGTCCTGTCCACAAATGACGATGTCGTCAATGTAGCAGAACGCATTTTCTCCTAGTAGGAATCGATTGCCTCCATTCCCCGGCCTTCTTCTTTATGAAGTGAGGAGCGGCAGCCCACTCGCTCTTGGAGGGTCGGATGACTCCTAGCTCCAGTAGCTTCGCGACCTGCTGCGGCGGGCCATCGTATTTACTGCACGCTTGACATGTCGTCAGATTTCAATGCGACATCTCCGAGGATCAAGAACTCACCGGCCGATTTTAGCGCGCTATGGACGCGTCTTTCAAGGAGGTGCTGGACAGTAGCACGCTCTGTTACATTGACGATATTGTCGTAGCGATGGACGACGAAGCGGGGATGCTAGAGAGGATAGAAAACATCTTGCGGTTATGCAGGGCGAGAGGATCGATGCTGTCAAGAACGCTGAGGTCCCTAGCGACAAGCGCGGCCTGCAGAGTTTCCTTGGACTAGTTGGTCACTTGAGGCCTTTCATCCCGAGATTTGCCGACTACACGGCGCCTTTGTTTGACCTGCTGAAGAAGGGGACTGTGTTTGCTTGGGGGCCTGGACAAGCTGACGCCTTCAAGGCGCCGAAGGAGGCAGGAGTCGAGGCGGCGTTACTATACACACCAGAGCCTGGCCAGCCCTATATCATTGAGACGGATGCGTCGGAGTCAAGGGGGACGTGAGGTGCCTCTGGAGTTTGTGTCCAAGAAGTTTACCGCTGCCGAATGTAAGTAGACACCCGTGAAAGAGAGCTCTTTGCTGTCAAGTGGGCTATAGACAGGTGGACGGACTACGTCACTCTTGCTCATTTCACTGTGAAGACCGATCATGCTAATCTCCGCTACCTGACAGGTGTGGACAAAGGGAAGGTGTTTCAGTGGACCTCGGCGCTCAGCCGGTTCGACTTCACCCTCGAGTTCGTGTCCGGAGAGAGAAACTGCATGGCGGACTGCTTGTCGCGCTACGCCGCAGGAGCGCGGACGATGACGCGCTTGTGGAACAGATGGCCCTTGGGGGCACGGTGCGCATATGGGGGCACTAGCTCACGCGAACCGGCCGACGGAGGAATGCGTACCAGAGTTATCTCGTTGTTTCACTCTGGGTCGAGCGGTCACATGGGCGGGTTCAATACCAGCAAACGAGTGATGAGCCTATACTACTGGCCGGGCTTGGCTGCGGACGTAGCGCAGACGGTTAAGGACTGCCTCGTGTCTGCACGCGAACGCCGTCGAGCTCCGATTACCCATCCCGTGCCGGGAGGCAACCTTGATGCTGCTGTTGCTTTGGATTTAGTGTCGCTGGACCACGTTGGACCTCTCAATCTCGGCCGTCAGAACTGGTGGATACTGGTGGCTGTGGATCACGCCACGCGGTATCTGGGGGCGTGGATCACAAGCCTAGTGGCAGCACGGCAGATGGTCAAGATATTCTACCGAGGCTGGGTGGTGCCTTTCGGAATTCCACGCATCGTACTTAGACAACGGGACGAGTTTCAAAGGAGTATTTCGCGGTGTAGTGACCAAATGGTTAGGGTCGCAGCACCTGACAACAGCTACATACAGACCGCAGGGGAACGGCATAAACGAAGCTTCTCACCAGGAGCTCCGATCCGGGCTCTGCGCGCTATGGCAGGAGAGGCAAAGGAATCTATTACACATGGTAGCTGCGGTTGTCAGGGCTCATAACACAACTCCTCACATCAGTTCTGGGGTGAGCCCGTACGAGGCGCTCTACGGACGCGCATCGTTGTGCACGCAGTTTCAGAAGTTGGCCGGGACGCCCGACGAGGAGACGCGGCAGCGAAACCGCGCGGCGTTCGTGGAGAAACGTCTGCGTGTCATGATGCTCAAGGACCGACCGCTGGAGACTGTGGGAGCCGTGGAGCTGCGCGTTGGGGACATCGTAGTCGTGGCAATGAAGCCAGGGCCGCAGGCAGGAGCGCGAGGAGGACCGGTAGCTCCCACGTGGGTTCCGGCTAGGTGGTCGTTACCCATGCGGGTTGCGGAGGTTACGCGAAAGCAGGTCAGCGCCGAGAGGTGCGACGCCCACAAGGACCAGGTACGGATGTTCGCGGTGAGCAAGGACCCGCTGCATCGCTGGCTCACGGAACAGTACGTGGAGGAGCAGAGAAACCTGGAGTAGGACAAGGAAGACAGTCGCAAACGACAACGGCAGGGTGCCATTCCAGACGAGGAGCGGCGCATCTTTACTAAACTTCTGCCTCCCTTCACTTAGCGAGCCGTGGGGGCGTGCTGAGCCGGCAAAGACGTAAACGGCTCGCCTCGTTAGGTCGCACCCAGGGCGGGGTTTTTAAAGAACAGGGACGACACGATTACGACCGCCGAGTATGATATGAGCAACAGCAGGGAGAGTTCAAGCTCGAGGGTCTCAGACGGGAGCACCTCCAACGAGCGAGACCGGATGCATCCATCACGAGGACAACAGAGTCACAGCCAGCTCAGCAGGTAAAAGCTTGAGCTGTGAGCCATCAGGGTTAACGACCGGGACCTGTCTGCCGGCCTTCGTAGAGTTTGGACGGCACGCAGCCCCACAACCAGCTGCTGATTCTGGAAGCATAACTCCGACTCAACGGGGCACCAAAACGCCGGGCCCTAGCAGTAAGTCCTGACGGAACATGGTTTACGACCAGCATCAAAGATTACTCGCTGTGTTGGGATGACAAAGTTCGGGATTCTGCTGCGTGTTAGTCAACGCACCCGATGCTATGTCCCAAAAAAATCACGAAAGGCGTGATAAATCCTGGCGTCTTTCGGCCAAGTGAGCCACCATCCTCATTCCCAGGCCAATTAATCATCCTTAACGAAAATACCCAGTATGGCGCCGAAAAGAAAAGAAATGAGTAAGTGGTTGTTGCTGTCGGGGTATGTTGCACCTTTTCCGTGTGTGCCAAGACGCACACACCGCACCCTAGTATGCTTGTTCCCGTTGTTGTCGTGTTTTTGGAAGAGGACCCCATGGAGGATTTCCCGCCCCCCCCACCGCCAGGACCTCCCCCACCGCCACCAGGACCCCCCCAACCCCCTCCCGGACCCCCCCAACCCCCTGCCGGACCACAGCCGCCCTCGCCGCCCACCTCACCGCTGGGGCATCGCTTGAGGGCCGTGGGTGGTGTTGTGATGGACATGTTCCGTCACGGCAATGCCCCCGCGAGCCCTCACCAGTCCCGGCGAGTGGGGTCTGCCTTCGTCGCCGCGCATGATCTCTCCCGTAAGATTGACTCCTCAATTACTTAGTTATGGTTTTAGATGCGCGGTCGACGGTTGTGGCCCGGCTTGGGTCCCTCGAGGACCGGGTGAGCCGGGTGGAGGCGGACCTTGCGGCGGTGAGAGGAGAGCTCACCGCCGTGAGGGAGGAGTCCCGGCGGAGGGACGAAGAATCCCGGCGGAGGGACGACCGCCTGGACGACCGCCTCACCCGGATGGGCGAGAACCTCACAGGCCAAATTTCCGAGGTGATCGCCCTCCTCACCCGGCAAAACAACCACAACAATAGTAGCTAATTAGCAACAGAACCGATCGCTCAAAAAAACCATTACAGGGGGGCCTCGGTTGAGGGAAGGTGGGTTGGGGGGCCGGGGCATCGCTATTGTCGTTGTTTTCGGTTTCGGCGTCGTTGTTGATGGCCGTGACGCCCAGTAGGTGTCCTCACCGACCGTCTCACTCGGATGAGCGACAACCTCGCAGGCCAAATTTCTGCGGTGATCGCCCTCCTCATCCAAAACAATAACCGCTAGTTAGTCCGTTAACAGAATAAAGAGACGTAGTCCGTGGCTGAAAAACCACGAGATGTAGGCTCTAAAAAAACCATTACAGAGGGATAGACTCGGCCATTCGCTCTCGGAGCATTTGTTGTTGCACTTGCTTGCGTTCTTGTTCCGAGCTCAGCGGGGTCATGTCCTGCATTTTGTCCAGGATGGGGAGGGTGGGGAGTTTGCCGAAGACTGCGTCGTGCGGGGGCGTGTTTGTCGCGGAGTGGGGCGTTACGTTGTGCAGGCGAGTGGCTGCATCTACCGTTAGTTCTATGTCTCTGATGCCTTCTTGCCATAGGGCCTTGAGTACGTTGTGTAGTTCTTGGTGAGAGGCTTCGTTGATGCCTTTTGCTTGCGGTCGGTACTGCTCGGCGGTCAGGTGCTTACATCCTAGCTGGTACGTTGCCTTGGCGCGGAAGGTTTCTCGGAAGCTGTTGCCTTTTGGCCATCATATATCGGGTTGTGTGGTCTATGATGACGAGGATATTCCAGTCGGCGCCTCCCGCGTGTATTGGTCCCCCGTGGTCGAGTGATACGACGCCCATGGCGGCGGTCTTTCCCAGCGTCCCTGCCGGTAGTCCTTGCTGGTACACCGGTGGTGTCTTGAGTCTCGCGCAGATGAGGCACTCTCTGATCATTTTTTCGATGTCCTGGGCGCAGCTGGGCCAGTAGTGTAGGGCTTGGACCCTCTTGCGCGTCTTGCCGGCTCCCAGGTGGCCGCTCGGACCGAAGTGTAATGCGATGACCAGCCGTGTGCGCAACTGGCGGAACGTAGGTCTTCTTTGTCCTGATGGATCCACCGTAGGCTGTTGTAGTGGAGACCTTGCAGGTTTGGGTTCCCCTTCTCGGCATATGCTTTGACGAAGTCTTCCTTTGTCGGGGGTGCAGGGAGGTTGAGCAGTCGGGGTGCCCACACAGCTGCGATCTTCAGTGATATCCGGTCCAATAGTGCGCCGTCTCCTTCGTCGTCGCCGGCGCATCCACTGAGCCAGTCGGCTATGTTGTTGGACTCGCCGGAGATGAATTCGATGGTGAAGTCGCTTAGTGCGAGTGCCCATCTGAAGACCTTGCCCTTGTCCACGCTGGTGAGGTACCGTAGGTTGTTGTGGTCTGTCCTGACCGTGAAGTGCGAGAAGCTGACG